AAACTATTTCGCCTGGCATTGCATGGCGCCTAAAGATCGGTAGCATTCGAAGGTCGTGGTCATCGTCGACCTTGAGGAAGGCAACGATGGGAATCTCTTCCGATGACTCACCCACTAGACAGCAATTCGAAATAAACACGCGTCTTCACCTGTGGTCAGTGATGGGAATGATACTGAATCGGTACTATGGATTCCACGTGAACTATGATAATCATGGTGCAACGGTGCACGTGCACGATTCAAACGTAATCTAAAAGAATTAAGAAATCCACAAAACTAAGGTAGGTAGAAGTCGCAAGTTACATCTTTGAAATTGTTACATACATTTGTATGAAAAAAAAAATACATATATAACTTGAGGGGAAAGTTTTTGAAATTTTTTGTATAGTACGATATTCTGCTGTATTATAATACTGTGTTGCGATATGAAGTATTACGTTCTATCTTGATGCATTATGCTATTAGACAATGTATTATACTGTATGACGCTGAAATATTTTGTATTTTTGCGGTATTATGCTTTATGATGCTGGAATATACTGTATTTCGCAGTATTATGCCTTATTTTGCTGGTACCTTTTATATTATACTGTGTTACGATTGGAATGTACACGACAACGCAAATGTTGAAAAGAATACTCTTAAATAGTCACTCGAGTGCTACTGCATCGAATTGTTCGAGAATTATTCATAACTGGCAGTACGATTCCATCGCTACTAGTGATTATAGTGGACAAGGATCGATCTTTCCACGGAAATCAAAAGAACTGTTTCCCAGGACCATCCACAGCCGCTGACTCAGGGCGTTCCTGGAAAAAACGTGAATGAACGATCGAGCCTTAAAAATAATACAGTCTCATCGTTGCAGCGCTAGTTCAGGACATGCGTCACGGCGACGAACCGTCAGAACGTCCGACGGTGGCGTCAGAGACCGAGAATAGGGTGACTCTGATGTAGAGATCCATGTGAATAAGTGGATCGAGATAGAACTCCAATTCAAGCATCAGATTCACGAAGCAATTAGATTTCATTCATTGCTTATGCAATAAAATAATCATCTGTGTTCACGACACCTTCAATTTTATCGTGCTAATCAAAATTTTATTTATTGCCGGGATGAGTCGGAATTCCAAGGGTCGCGAATGAAACGCTTGATGGATAACAGCATGGTTTTATAAATTTATTTCCTTTGTCACACGCCGTTCTTTTGCACTTGGGAACCAAGAAAAGATTCAGTTCGATAATGCGACTCGCGAAAACGTGTGCTAACTTGCCAGAGAATTGTCTTTTATTTTAGCAATCCGAATAACGAGTGTCTCCGAGTGATGAGATTAAGCGTACATCGACTTAAAAGAGTAGTCTCCTCGCTGCACGTCCATAGTAGTCGATATCGGTTGTCGAAAGAAGAAATCTAGAGGACGAATCGCCAGAAGCTACCGGATGCGGTTCATTCGTTCAAATATGGTAGGACGATAAGGCGGAGATCGTTAATGATGCATCGACATCCGCGAATAGAGCTGAGCTGAATCGAGAAAATATTCGACCGACTGGCTCCTATTTTGGCTGGACGTGCAGGATGATATACGAGACGCTCAAGAGTTCTGGAAGATGTAGTCGATAAATTACGTAAAATAAGTCAGGTGGAGTGCGTTGTTTCACAATTGCCAGCGACTTGATAAAATTAACAGATTTAAGAAGATTAGCTACTGAGTAGTCACTTTGAAGAACGTTAGGTCGCGGCTAATGCTTCCACTCGAGTGCTCTGAAGTCAGAACCTGGTGAATTACGGTTGCGTCTAATGGCAAGGTAACTTTTGCCTTATCAATGATACAAAAATGAGGGTAGAAGAAGGTCTAGCCGCGTGACGTCTTGGTCTTTAGTATCTTTAGTACTGGTATACTTTTTGAAATTCCCCGTAATTTTTCATTTGGAGATACGTAGAAACGTTGAAGTTACCTTGCAATGGTAGAACACGAAGGACACTTCCCATAAAAATAAAGACAATATATTCAGGTCGCCTGTTTCAAGCGCCTCGCCCTGTGCAATGACGCATAAAGTATTAAAAATACGCCAAGTGTTTCGAGAGATTCCAAACTAGCGCGATAAAACTGGAACAGGACTTGACGGATAAATTTTCATTCTTCGCAGAGCAGAATTATTGTCCGGCGTAAACATAACGATGGTTACCAACGATGACGAAAAAAATTTCGTGAACGCAGACACGACAAGTGGGCCAAACTTCCGCGCACGTTCGTGTTTATTGCACGCGACCAGCATTGCAAAATATTTTTGCGCGGAGAAGTTCGTCTAGTCATTGCACGCTAAAAATTTGAAATCTATCGACGCAGTCAGAAATCTGTGTTTCATTACACTTTATCAGTGTATGCAAATCAATCTTTGAGGATGTTCAGTGGCCGGGGAAAATCAATTTTCCTTGCAGCCTCAAAGGTGGCAGAGATCGGAACGAAACCAAGAATAAAGAGTACCAATGCGTGAATTTTTCAGGTCTCAGTCATTGCCAACCACCTTGTTATATTTAATAATACACATTATACTCAACACCATCGGAGTCGTTCGCTACCTCGATCCATCACCGACCCACCCAACGCTCGCTAAAAATATCTCCCAAGGTATAAAAATGGGTAAAGGATGTGCATTCATTTTCGCGGTGTCAGGAACGTGTCGATACGCCAACGTCTCATTCTCGCCACGATCAGACTGTGGAGAAACCAAGGAAAAAATATCTTCGAACAGGCGACAATTATTAACTCCAATCAGCGATCGCGTCAATTAACATGCAGCCTGCTTGACTCGCGTTCGCGCGAGGTGATTCTTGAGTGGCGGGATTGTGTACGGAAGCGACGTTTCTGTTTCCGTGCTCATTACTGCGTTTCGAGCTGGCCACGCTGACACGATAAGCTGTCAACCGCCTAATAAGCCTACGAGCTGGACGGCGTTCAACGATTTTATGGTTCTGAATTCGATTGAGACATTCAGCGACGCTGTACCAAACACGTGCGCTACTAACTAGGTACGTGAAATTTTACGTCAGTGGTTCTTAACCCTTCGAATGGCACCGGGAATTTTTAAACATATCTGAGAAATACCAGACAATTTTAAGCAAAGATGCATGATTGTAAACAAAAATGTATATTTCGTTGACGTTTAACGGTATTTGAATAAAATTTGAAATAAAATTGAAGTGTACAAACAATTCTGTATGCATTAGATATTGACGTTATTTTGGTAAAGCAACATTGATTTTTTAATGAGTTATAGCACTTACAGCCTCGAGCGGCGATATATGGCCCTTTTTGCAAGTGTATGAAGGAACGATATATCGCTCTTTGGCACTCAAATGGTTAATCTTTTTAACCGACTAAACCCTGAATTTTTTTTATTTTCCTTTTGAAAAAAACACTATTCAACATATTCAATTCTAGGTCTTGAATCATCTAGTGTTAGAAGTCCTCAAATGAGTGAAAAATATAGTAATTCCTCGGATGTGTTGCCAAACATCTGCAAAACAGAGTTAGTCTTCGTCACAGCACGTGTCGTCATTCAGTGGTTAAGAATCACTGGTTCACGTAAATGGAGCGAAGTAAAAAGGGAATGTGTCAAGCGTGGAGCGAGGTAACGAGATTATTTCCAACAAGTCGCGAATAAAAATCTTTTTTTCACCAGAAGCGACGGACGAGGTGTAGGTACGTCGCGATCGTGCGACACGCGAGCAACGAAGACCTGTTGCGAATACCTTTTTCATACAGTCACCGTTGCCCGGTAAGAAGCAGGTTTTTCCACGTCCGTTTCCGTCCAGGTGTTACATCAGTTCCATTCCCCCTCAAAATAACTGGAAGCGCGTGTATTTGCACTGAATTGCATCATTTTAACGGCTGTAAACATCAACTAGCGACTAATCTTCTCAATTGCTTAAAATTGGTACTTTCGTCACGTTAGTTCTTTTAAAACCAATTTGATAAAGATTTTGGCCGTAATTCTTAAAACAAAGTGGTTCTGCCACGCCTATTTCTCGGAGCGAAATTAAAGACTCAATCTTCAACCTGACCGGGAGTGCCAGAAACCATATAAGTACGCAAACGTTAAATCAAATTATCTCGAACGGCATACTACTGACTTTCACGGGCCAGTTTGTTTCATTTGGCGGTTGCGGTCGTTTTCCGAACATTAGGCTTAATTAGAAAGAGATCGTATCTAGTTCACGCACTACCACTGACAGAAACGTAAACTTACGGTCAGAAACAGAAATGTCCCTCTTTGAGATACTTTAATACTTATTTGTTAACTGTAAGGAAACATGATAAATACCTGAGACGAGGAATGCTTATGGGATGTAGCTATAGATTCGTGACTTACCTGAAACAGAAAAGAAAAATCTTGTTAGCGACAAAGAAGAAATCGACAGAGGATGCATCGGTTACATTACTCACTGTCAATCACTCTGACAGTCTCTGACCATTCAAAAGTAGTATATGAGTCGTTCACTGCGCAAATCGATTAACTCTATTTATTGAAAATTCTTAAATTTAAGTGTCAAAGCACTTGGTATAGACAACTTTTTATATTTATAATAACTTTCCTGAATAATAAAGATTAACACCATTAAATGACAAAATGTCTTTGGCCATTGAATAATAAATAATTGATTTCAGAGGTCTTTTTGATCGCATTTCTCAGCTTTATGTTTTATGAAGTTAATCGATTTGTGGAATGAACGGCTCATATTTCTAAGATATGCAATTATTTGGAGACAGATGCAGGAGTTTCATTCGTCGCTGCATCCACCAAAATATACACGTGTAATTCTCTTCAAAAAGATGTTTAGATCAGCTCGAACGAAAGAATGAAGATAACTCTGACAAAAATGCATCTCAACAAGGATGCAACTGCCAACGTTTCCGACTGCGTAAGGTGCGCGTAGGAGTATTCGAGGGAGGCCGGTTAATTACTTTTCCCGCGGTTCGCGAGACCAATTCGTGGCAGTCGAGGGGGAGGGACAGCCGCTCGGATCGGATGCAAAAAGGAAGGGTGAAAGAGGCGTGCAAAGCGGAACAACGTGATCGTCTGGCTCGGCAGTCGTAGGTGAGCGTCGCGACACACACGAGCGTGGTCCCTTCGCGCTAGTAACACGCGGTCTGGAGTCGTTCACGCGCCGTGTTCGGTCCACAACGGTTCGAATAAGCCTCGCTAACTGGCCGCCGTGTGTCAGAGAGTGGGACACTGGCGCAGGGCCAGTAGGATCCACCGATATAAAGATCTGCGGTCACGCGGCAACTCGTTTGTTCATCGTCCCAAGTGCAGCGAGTGGACAGCCCCCGCAAACTGGTTCCGTGCGCGTTATGGCCTCGTCTCCGTGAAACGAAGCTGTCAGACCTCGACTCGAGCTTCCCAAACGAATCTGTGATTTTCTTTCACGTGTTCTTCGCAGAAAGGCAAAATTTTATTCGATCAGACAACGAAGAAAACGTATAGCAATTCTTATTTTTACTTAATCCATTCTTTCTATGATCTTAGACTGAATCTTTTGCACTCGAACTTTCTTGGCTGCAAATCTAACTCTGAATTATAAAAGTGCAGTGTATTGCTTGCCACAGAGGCATGATCAGTGCCTGTGAAGAGTATTTCGAGTGCAAAGAGTTAAAATCGTCTTTTCTATTTCCTTTTATGACTCTACCTTTCTTCGAATAAGAATTTTGCCCTCCTCTGCTAGCGAAGAAACGGAATCGAGAATCCCCCGGTGGAAAATCCCGCGAGTCCCCGTTTTCATTCACGCAATCGTTCAGTGGCAATCGTGGAAGAGTGATATCCGCGGGGACGAGTTTATCACTGGCTGGTTCCGTGACAGAACGTGTGACATCGTGATCTATCGAGAGTATCGGACGTAGTATCGTTTTCCAAGTAAGAAGAGAATCGTCAGGAATCCACGATAAAAGGCTCGCATCTAACGGGAAAGTACGTACGTCCGTTTCCTGGTATTTAGATCTTCATGTTCGATTTACGCTTTTCACCTGCGCGCACGGGCGTCCGTGGAAATTTATATAACGGGCTCTCCGTGAATCATCGTAGCGGTTCTCGCGTGTCCAACGAGATTTACCGTGGCGGAGTGTTAAAAGATCGCGAGTCCTTGCGCTTTCCGGCATGAATATTTATCGAGGATCATTTTTTTTTCGATACGTGTAATTACTTTCAAGCGCGGGAGAAAAAAAAAGTCGCGGCTCGAATGCAATTGGACGTAATGATAGGAGGAGAACCGGATCGAAGGACTCGAATAATGAATGATCAATGAACTTAGCGATACTATTCCGTCCGCCACGGGGCTTTCACAAATCGACGATGCGAAGTATTCCCGGTGCAACTCGTAGCATTTAGATAAGAAATGTGTCGACTTGATGGACGGATAAGCTGAATTTTCACCGCGACTCTTCTCGATCATTTTTTTTTTTTTTTTTATGAAATCGTTTGGGAAATGGTGATCAGTTTATAGCGAGGTTTCTAGTGTGCTAACTGTGTGTGCGTGCTGGGGATATTCGTTTAAGATTTTTTATCTTTGCACTGAACATGTCAAGAGATAGAAAGTAACCTGATCGAAATAGTTTCTGATTCTTTATCATTCATCCTAGGATGACTTCTGTTGAATTTTACTTCGCTGTTTAAGAAACTGTTTGGTCTGTGTGTGAAACCAATAAAATTCGTGCGCGGTTAATTGGTTAGTCACCCAGAGCAAGACTGCACCATCGAGATTAAACTTTCTCCTCGAGAGATAAAAATTCTCAAAAATGAAATGAAAGTTCCAAACAAGACTTTTCGGTCTTGTTTGGAACTTTCTCAGGACAACTTAGTTCCGTTGAACGATAATTATAAAATTCTGTATACAACAAGAAGTGTTGATTACTCTGAAGAAAGCAACAGCTTAATCGTGTAGCAAGGCCCACATTGAAAAGTCTGAGTGATAAGGCTGCAACGAAACCACGTGATGGTTAGAGAGTATTCGATAGGTCCAGACCTCAGACTTTCTCCAAACCTTGCGATATTTCTATTCGTATGATTCTACGCTGTTTTCATTTCACCCAACATTTTCTCCGCGATTTGAAAACATTCTACTGTTTGTTCTACACCTAGGAATACCTCTGACACCTAATGTTTTTTCTTCAAACTCCCAGTGTCCTACCTCTCATACTTCTCTTCCCTACAAAGCTTCTTGTACTCAGCCGTTTTTCGTTTCATATTTTCAAATTAGACTCACGTTTAGGGTTAGTTCGAAGAACAACCATTCACCGATCCCCCTCGCTTCACTTTCTCTGCGCATGTACTCGAATCTGCACACGTTTCTCCCTCGTTACGCTAAACGGAGTCGTTAAATAAATCAAAAAATAAAATTGAATCCCGGCAGAACGCTTCCGAGAAACGTTGCCTGTCACCGACGGGATGTAGATTATTATTGTTCATAAATAGAGGGAAGATTATATTGAGCACAGGGGAAACGTTTCCCGCGTCCCCAACGCGGAAACAACTTCCATCGGTTCGTCGTGAAAATCTACGTAGCCGCACTGGAAACAGAGAAACGCAGCTCGCGGTGCTGTCAATGTTCTACGCGTTCCCTGTACGGTCGTCGGCTGTTAATAGCATCCGGTCAGTTCACGAAAGTTAAGATTTCCGGCAGATCGCTGCAACCCGCGCAGAAACTCGTCTATGCGTTCGTTTAATTACAGATTTGTCATTAATGCAACGGGGACCGTTGTGCTTCCTATTCGACGTTTAAGCACTTTCACTTTGACATAACTGTGTCGATGAGAAGCATCACAAAAAAGCACGTGGTTGCCGTTTTTGCAAAGTGTAACGGGCCACGGTGGATCTAGCGCCAACGCGAGATACACTTCCGATTACGAGCTCTTAATGGACAGAAAGTTGTTTCATGGAGATTGAACGACCCGCGTGCAACGCTTCTTGCGAAGTTTGGGTGTTTATAAGAAGATAAATGTTGCGCTATTTGTAACAGATACGGTGCACTAGTGGACTTTGGATTGTTAATTGGACAGAGTGATCTTTGCTTTAATTCGAGTGCTGGAAGTATCTACATGTCTATGATATTTTACATAATCAAGTTTCAATCAAGATTTTACTTACAAATTTTTTAAATACATCTCTCAACGTCATTGTACCTTTCTTACTAGTTAACACTCATTCACTGTCAACTACAAGATATCTCGTGGTAGAGGAACACTGTCGGTCAAAAGTATGTAGACATACACGTTGAACGCCAGACTGAAACTCGTGACAATTTCTACGAGGTTCAAATTTTGTCTAGAGACAATGGAAAAGTAAGAATCTTATACAGATTTATTTTTATTAAATGACTTCCTCTAGTTTCTTAATGAAATGTCCTCTCAACCACTTCTGAGTCACACGTGTTAATTTTGATAACTATCTGACAAAGTCATGAGATCATTCGTGGGTTTAATAAAATATTCATGACAATAAAAATGATATTATACAAATAATAACTTAGACGTTACGGTTATAACATATTAATTATATATCTTGGCACCCAGGACAAGATGCTTTAAATTTACCTGGCAGTGAATGGGTTAAGGTTCAAAAATGCCCGTTTTCGTCTTGAGATTTATCAGTTAGTATGCGCACGTGTTATTGTTGCACATCCTGATTCCTTTGTCCCGATGCTTAACGTTTAACAACTCGTTGGAGCACTTCTCCGCGTGCAGATAAATGACAATTACCTGCACGTGTCTGCTCGGTACATTCAAAATACAGGCGGAATTCCAAAACCATCACAGAAGCAAACCGAAGACAACAGAGAAACTTGATAAAAAAAATTCATACAAACGTACGTCCGGTTTCACTCTGCATGCGAATTACCAATTCTGTGCCATAGTGACCAGTGGGAAGTTCTTTTATCATTTTTGTATGCTGAGTTCACCACGTGAAGTTGTGATCAAATTTCATAAAACTCTTTGTGCAAACTCAATCATTCTGAATAAAACATTTTCCTGCTACTTACTCGCTAAAATAGCAGACACTTCTTCCGTGGAGAAACACGTGTAACCATTGCGAACAATTGCATGAACCTTTTATATTACTCTGGGAAATTAATAGTGATCTCATTTCAATCACCGTAATACTTTAATCGAGTGTTCGAATACAGAGAAACTCGACGAGCCGTTCCAACCCGATTCTTAATTTTAAACTTAGTGGCAGCGATGCGTGTCACTAAACGTAAGTGATCGATCGTTACTTTCTGTATCTCGCGGATGAAACGTATCGGCAAATCAAACGCATCGTCGAGCGATTAAATTGGAATTGTAACAAACGACTGTGCTCGTTTCACGATTATTCTTGCTGTGAACTTTCGAGCTCGTTGAGCAACGCGTCCTTGCTTCTAAGATCGGTGCGTGATACAAAGACGAGGTAAATCGCGATCTAGAAATCTAATTTTCATCGAGGATCCCTCCTACCATCTCGTTGAAGATGTAAACGTGAGGTGTAAACTTGGAAAGGAGAACGAAAATATCTATTCATTCTTTTTGTAATTAATTCTTATTTCTAACGTTTTGCTTAGAAAATTTGTTTTCAAATACGAATTTTTCGGATTTCTGAGGTACGTGATTCGGCTGCGCAAAGACAGGATCGCGTTGATCGGAGCACCGGAACCGCAACCACTTATCAACTTACGCAATTTGCTCTTTATGTTGAACGACGGAGGGAAAAAGAGTCATAACCGCACAGAGAAAGTGGCACGTCTAGCAATATAAATCGTAGCTTGTAACTCTAAACGGCTTATCAACGAGAACAGGGTCGAACATGTTTCCCAACGTGGAATTTGAAATCGGAGCACTACGAGGGTGCTGGAACCAGCACGTCGGGATGATTGTTTTTTAAGAAATTCAGCTATGATTTACTTTGGAGCTATGACACTCGGATTGGAATCTTAACACGTTCGCGACCGACAGATATTTTACGTTTTTAATATCGAGTACTGACGAAAATAATAACATTCTGGAGCTGGACATCGTAAATTTGTATTGTTAGAGCGAAGGTAAAAGTTACAAAATATGTTTCGAAATATCAATGTTGTAAGTATGTAGCGTCTAAAATAAAAAGGATTTTCATAATTCTCTCATAACCAGGAATAGAATTTGAAGTGACGTGAATTCACGTCAACGGTCGCAAATGTGTTAACTTAATAAAATTGCAATCTGGAGTTGTAAGATTTTTGATAACATTGATGACATGGAAACGGATGTTTATAAAGTAGAACACATTTTCTGGGCGACGATAAAAACGTCTAACATGAAAATCAAGCTACAAATTACTGGTCAACCACCAGCGTATGTAGCTAATAAATTCTTATTACGACCCAGAGTACAGGGGACGAAGCAAGAGTAAACGAGAAGAAAAAATGTAAAGCATAGACCTTGGAGCACAACCTTCGTCTCGCTCAGCTTTCCCTCTATCATCCAGCGCAGTGGTCCTTAATTGCATCTATCAGGACGCGCGATATACAACAACCTCAGCAGGGTCGATTCCACCGTGGGAATGCGAGCGAGTATGAAAAACGTAGTGTCGACTGTGGAACGTGGTGAACGACTAAAAAAAAAATTGAATCAGCGGGAAATCGAATGTGCGCGTCAAGAGACAGCAATCCAGCTGTGATTCATCCACTGCGGACCTGTTTAATCCGTCAAACGATAAACAGTGCAGTCTTGAACAGGAAAGTGCTATTACAGAAGGAATTCTGGTCTATCGCACGTGAAAAATCGACTTTCTTGTTGCATTTTCTAATAGCTTGGGATCTTAAAGGGATGTGGGTTGAAAGAATTAAAATTAGGAAATCTACAAGAATTTTTTTCAAACGGTAAAAGTGCATAAATATGTATGGATCGAGGCTTTAAAAATATGTTTTGCCAGACAGGTATCAAGTACGCGCATTGAAACTG